AACATACTAATGTTCATAGCATCATTATTTATTTTACTATAAAAATTTTTTTTGAATGTTTTTCTATTTTTGAGAGACAGAGACAGAATGCAAGTGGGTTAGGGGCAGAGAGAGGGAGACACAGAATCTGAAGCAGACTCCAGGCTCCGAGCCGGAGCCTGACGCGGGGCTCGAACTCACGAGCTGTGAGATCATGACCTGAGCCGAAGCTGGATGCTCAACTGACTGAGCCACCCAGGCACCCCAACAGCATTATTATTTATAAAAACCAGAAAGTGAAATACAAATGCTCATCAACTGATGAGTTATAAAAATATGGTATATTCCCAGAATATTTGACCATAAACAGGTATGAAGTAGTGACACAATATGAGCAAAGCTAGAAAATATTGTTAAGTAAAAGAAACAAGATATAAAAGGCCATGCACTGTATGATTCCATTCATACGAAATGTCCAGAAAAGGCACATTTTTAGAGACAAAAAGTACATTAGCGATTTCTGGGGTGGGGGATGAAGGTGTCCAAGTTAACATTTATAGTGTAGCCACTTACAGAGAGAGGATGTGTTCCACTCAGTTCCAGTTTCAAAATTCCTGAGGAAGGAATCAATAGACCTGTTTAAGGCCAGGTGCTGAAGAGTGACTGTTAATTGAGTATTGGGTCTCTTTTTGGGGTGATGAAATATTTTGGAATGAGACAGTGGTGATACAGAACTCTGAATATACTAAAAACCACTGAAATGGGAATACTGTAAAAGGATGAATTCTATGGTATGTGTATATCTCAATTTTTTTTAATGTAATTTTTAAATGTAATTAAAAAAATTTTTTTAACGTTTTTATTTTTGAGACAGAGAGAGACAGAGCATGAACGGGGGAGGGGCAGAGAGAGAGGGAGACACAGAATCGGAAGCAGGCTCCAGGCTCTGAGCCATCAGCCCAGAGCCGGATGTGGGGCTCGAACTCACGGACCGTGAGCCGAAGTCGGACACTTAACTGAGCCACCCAGGTGCCCCAAAATGTAATTTTTAAAAAGTAAAACAGAGTAAAAAAAAAAGGCAGAGAGGGAAGGGGGTTGCTGTTCTGGATAGGGTGGTCAGGAATGACCTTATTTGGGGCAGAGACCTAAAGAAGCTACAAACACAAATTAGGGTGGAGGTGGGGGAGCAAAAAGGAACATTCCAGGAGGAAGAGCAAGTGGGAAGACTCTTGAGGTAGACTCACACTTGTTCTCAAGGAACAGCAAGGTCAGCAGGATGGCCAAGGGCATAGCAAGGGCATGAGGCTGTGGGAAGCCAGGGTCCAGACTGTATAGGCTTGTACACTACAGTAAGGACTGGCTTTAAATGACAGAAAACCACTGGAGCCAGGAGCAATGTGACCTGATGCACATTTTAAAAGGTTCGCTTCTGCTGCTAGGTGGAGAATACAAATAAACTAAGGCGGTAAAAGAAGGAAGGCTGTTAGAAGGCTATTGCAGTAGTCCGAGCAAGAGAGATGGCTTACGTTAGTATGGGTAGTAAATGGTTGGATTCAATGCCTACCAAATCACTGTGATGGGATACTTACATTTCTTAAAATTTTATATGTCAATTATACCTCAATAAATTGGGGGGGAAAAAGTGGTTGGATTCAAAATATATACTGAGGTTGGAGCCAAAAAGTTTGTTAATGATCCAAATGTAGGGCACGGGAAAAAGAGAAGTCAAAGATGACCCTAAGGATTTTGGTCTGAGCCAAGGAGTGAATGGATGGGCCATTTACTGAGTTGGGGAAGCATAGAGAAGGCTGTGCAGGGAAATGAGAATTCAGTTACCCTTAACTTTGAGGTGCCTAATAATCTAGGTGCACATACAAGCCTGTAATTCAGTAAAATGGCCAGGCTGGAAGCATAAATTTGAGAGCCATAACAGAAGACATCTGAAGGCACACTGAAGACTCACTAAAGAAGAGAATGGAGAGTCCAGGAATTGAGTCCCAGAGAATTTCAATATTTAGATACTTGGAAACAGAAGATACGGCACAATTTATGTCTCGGAGAGGTAGCAACTTGTTACAGGAAGACAAAGATGCTCCTTATTTGTTTTCTTACAGAATCAGATGATCTGATGGATAAAAGTTCCTTTAAACCAGGACTTCCCTTAGGATCATAGGTGTCTTATCTCTGGATGTTCAAAGATGTCCTCCTCTTCCATTTCTTGGTGTTAGCTATGGACAGCAAACCTACTCACCTACCAGGTATTCTCACATTCTTTCTTTTTTCAATTAAAAAAAAAAAAGGTTTGTTTATTTTTGAGAGAGAGTGTACATGCGAGTAGGGTAGGGGCAGAGAGAGAGGGAAACTGAGGATCTGAAGCAGGCTCTGTGCTGACAGCAGACAACCCAGTGAGGGGCTTGAACTCACAAACTGTAAGATCATGACCTGAGCCAAGTCCAATGCTTAACTGACTGAGCCACCCAGGCAACCCTCACATACTTCACAAAGTATGCTGCTTTGAGGATCTCAAGTCAAATCCCTATGAACACCTCACTAAGATGACAATCCAAAAACTTGTAATTTGGTTTTGGGTATATTATTTTATCTCAGAAGTTTTAGCTTCCTTATTAAAACCACAGTTGGATTTGCCTTCCTTACGTGTACACAAATGTGATCAGAAATAGTCTTTATCATGGATAATTTAGAGATAGACAGCTTTTTTGGTAAGTAGGGGTAGGGTAGTAATTATTTAGCTCAGTTGGCAAAAATTCCAAGCAAAATAATCTAACCACCTGGGACAGTGACACTTGTGCAATGGGCACTAAAAGTTGTGCAACTAATGTAACACATTCAAATATTTAAGCCCTGAAGGCATTATGTAGCATAAGTGCCAATATTTTGGGCTTTATAGTCTGAATATCTGGTCTGAAAACCTCAGCCTTCTCATCTGGGAAATGGAGATCATGGTACCTGCTCTATCTTATAAGGATTATATAAACCAAGGTGCTTTGTACACTATATTATGTAATGTAGTCATACTATTCTTTTTTTTTAATTTTTAAATGCTTATTTTTTAAATTTTTTTTTCAACGTTTATTTATTTTTGGGACAGAGAGAGACAGAGCATGAACGGGGGAGGGGCAGAGAGAGAGGGAGACACAGAATCGGAAACAGGCTCCAGGCTCTGAGCCATCAGCCCAGAGCGCGACGCGGGGCTCGAATTCACGGACCGCGACATCGTGACCTGGCTGAAGTCGGACGCTTAACCGACTGCGCCACCCAGGCGCCCCAGCATCCAAAGATATCTTTATAGACATCCACCTGCTAAAGGCCCATCATGCTTCTGGGGAGACTATGCTCTAGGTCTGGACCCAGGACCTTCTGGCTCCCAACCTTCTGAATACAGAAGCTGACCTTTTTTTTTTTTTTTTAGTTTATTTATTAATTTTTTTTAACGTTTATTTATTTTTTTGGGACAGAGAGAGACAGAGCATGAACGGGGGAGGGGCAGAGAAAGAGGGAGGCACAGAATCGGAAACAGGGTCCAGGCTCTGAGCCATCAGCCCAGAGCCCAACGCGGGGCTCGAACTCACGGACCGCGAGATCGTGACCTGGCTGAAGTCGGACGCTTAACCGACTGCGCCACCCAGGCGCCCCTAAATGCTTATTTTTTGAGAGAGAGCACAAATAGGAGAGGGAGACACAGAATCTGAAGCAGGCTCCAGGCTCTGAGCTGTCAGCATAGAACCTGATGTGGGGCTTGAACCCACAAACCATTTGATCATGACCTAAGCCAGTCAGATGCTTAACCAACTGAGCCACCCAGGAGCCCCTGTACTACTATTTTCTTTACAGGAAATGAACTTGTCAGGAAAGTTTTTGAAGAACTACAGTAAGCGGTCAAATTTCAGATGCAATAAGGATTTAAAAAACCAGCTAAAAAGTCTTGTAAAATAATTTACATATGATAGTGATTATAGAATTAAAAAAAAAAGGTTTATTTAGAATTTTTAAAAATAGTAAAAGGAGGCACCTGGGTGGCTCAGCTGGTTAAGTATCTGACTTAATTTCAGCTTAAGTCACGATCTCACGGTTTTGTGGGTTCAAGCCCCATCAGGCTCTGTGCTGACAGTGCGGAGCCTGCTGGGGATTCTCTCTCCCTCTCTGCCCTCTTCTGCTTGTGCTCTTTCTCTCTCTCAAAATAAATAAACTTAAAAAAAAAAGTAAAAGATTAAAAAAAAATGAATGCTCATCAGTGGGGACTATTATAGTCCATCCTATAATGAACTAGAACTCCTGCCCTTAATAAAGAGGTGGTATTATATGTACTGATAAGAAACTATCTTAAGATGTACTAGTAAGTAAAAAAAAGGTGAGATGCAAAAGGGTGTAGAGTCTGCTTACATTTGAATAAGATATATACACGTTTGTATATATATGGAATATCTCTGAAAGGATACACAATTAGCTCATCACTATATACCGTTTCTTCTATCTGAATTGTGTTCCATGTGTTTGTATTATTTACTCAAAATAAAATAAAATCTAACCACAGAGCCTCAAATATCAGCAAGATATGAAACAGAATGAGTAGTGGCTATTATCTTCAATATAAAAAGGGCTTCCTTCAAATGAGAAAAAGAAAGTCTTGACACAAGACAAGTGGATCCGAGATTCGGAATTAGCATTCCACAAAAATATATATATGGCTAACGCATTTTTTAAATGTTCATCCTCCTTAGAAACTGAGCAAATTAAACCAAGTATTATTTTACCCACCAGGTTGGAAATTAAAAAAAGAAAGTTATTACACCCAATATTGGTGTACATATATGAAATGGGAATGCTCATATTTTACTGGTGAGAGTTGGTTGTTACCTTTCTATCTATCTATCTATCTATCTATCTATCTATCTATCTATATCTCAAAAGTCCTAAAACATGCACATACACCCCTGTTCTCACCCAGCAATGCCACTTCTAAGAAATGAACCTAAGGAAATAATGCAACAAGCACAAAAAGATATATGTAACAGGGATACTACTCAGTTTTAATTAAAACAGCAAGTCATGGGAGGGAAGCCAATGTTTACTAATAAAAGATTAGTTAATAAATTATTATACAACCAAGTAGATACTAAAAGTTTCTAAAGAACATCTAAGAATATTAAAAAATGTTCACAGTACATGGGAGAAAAAAGATTAGCAAGAGAACAGCATATAAATTCCACTACCATGGGTGGTGTCAATAAATATACACCATAGAGGCTGGAAAGACATATACCAAAATATTGATTTTTCTGGGGGTAGATTATAGGCGATTTTTGCCTTTCTGTTTAGTTTTTGATTTCTTCTAAGTTTTTATATAATAAGCATGTACTGCTTTTGAAAAGGGGAAAAAATAAATGAGGGAAATAATAACTGGGGGAAAGGTAAAAAATGGGGTAAATAGTTGGGGCAAGAACCACAGAAGATACAAAAATCTAGTTATTTTTAAATTACTAATGAAATATAAATCTATGTAGGAAAAAAGAAAATGTGTAGGGGGATAATTTTATTTAGTAATAAAAATATTTATCAAATACAAAAGGGTAGAAATATTGCTTTATTTGAGAAACTTACATCCAAATTACTTTTATATGTTTTCAAAAGTCCTAACGAGCATCCAAGAAGAAAACATACACAGCTTCCACAACAATAAAAACAAAAAACTGGGGTTGATGATTGCCCCAAATGACATTTCCTAAAAGGAAAAAATATTAACCTTTCTTTTTTTGAGTCAGGGTAAGTGAAATGCACACATCATAAATAACATTTTCTTACTTTTACAGGGAGTAAAGACTGTGATCATGTTTTTTTATGAATATTAAATACGAAATACAAAATCCACTCTTCTGAGCAAGATGAGGAAAAAAAAACCATTCTTTAACATTTTAGTTCTCATGCAATGAAATCCAAAGGTCTGTTGAATCCGCCTTTTCGATTCATATACTGCCTATGATGAGAAGAGAAAACTCATTGTTTATTTAAAAAAAATTCTGAACTCCTCTTATAAAAAAAATAGTAACATAAATCATCTTTAAAATAGCAAAGTCTAGAGTAAAAAGTATTCATGGTTATTTAATTCAACGTTTTTTGTTTTTTTTGTTTTTTTTTATTTATTTTTGGGACAGAGAGAGACAGAGCATGAACGGGGGAGGGGCAGAGAGAGAGGGAGACACAGAATCGGAAACAGGCTCCAGGCTCTGAGCCATCAGCCCAGAGCCTGGCGCGGGGCTCGAACTCACGGACCGCGAGATCGTGACCTGGCTGAAGTCGGACGCTTAACCGACTGCGCCACCCAGGCGCCCCCATGGTTATTTAATTCAAATTAAGGATATTATTTCACTTTCAAAATAATCTAAAGCCTTTCAGATTTCTTTAAAATCCAAATAGAAGTATGGAAACATACTTTCAAAATTATTTGGAAAGATTTTACAGACTGAAAAAAATCCATATGTATAGGTTGTTACCTATATTTATAGGTTGTTACCTATAAACACCTAGTTTTAAGAAATGAAGAAGTGCTTCAAAATAGGTATCCATCAAGTAAATTCAACTGCATATTGTACTAGTTCTCCTCATAAGACTCTATTTGAAGATAATTTTACAAGGAACAGTTAATGATGATTCTGGTCATCACTTTAACTCACAGCATCCTCAGATTACATTATTCATATTCTAAATTAATCAGAATATTAGTCTTTTATCCATGGTAAAGGTAGAAGAGAAAGGCAATGTTTGATAATGTCTTAACTTTTGAATTCATTAGGAATTCTGTGAGATTTCACATATGGACTTGTTTGTTCTGTGGCATTAATAAAATATGCCTATACTTAACAGAAAAATATATTTACAGTTGAAATCCTTAAACAATCAATCTAGGTAAATAACTCAGGATGGATCTATTTTAAACCTATAATTATAATGAAATTAAAGCTTAAAGAATTGAGATTATGCTGTTTTGAAGAACTATGTAGAGCTTTAAAACATTTAAGCTAACTATCCTTCCCCATAATAGTTAATTAGTTCACATATAAATTGGAAATTATTTTAACACACCAGAATAGAAGCAAAGAATATTAAAACAAAGGACTATATGGAAACTGGTACATTTCCTACAAACATGATTATCCCATAACTAAATTCTTTCTCAAGCACATAATTTGTATCATTAGTTCAAATGTAATAATGGGGGCTAAGCCTACCTGTACTTCCTCTTCTGAGACACATTTATGGCATAGGCATTTACAGAGCCATCCACCTTTTTCCCCTAGAGAAAAGCAATAAACAAATATAAAAAATGGAAAGGATATATTAAGTGCTTCAAAGAGCTAGATCCTATAGACATGCTTACATGGCAAAATCCATTTATGAATAAGGTAGTGAGAATTTTCAAATCCTGATGATATTCCATGAATTCTCAAGTGTTACAACTCTGTTCACGATTTTAGTTACATAATGCAACATATTCAAATATTCAAGCCAACAAACATTCATGATGTATAGATTATGTGCAAGGCATGCAGAGAAATAGGGTAACAGATCCTAACCTTTTTTTTTTAAATGTTTATTTTTGAGAGATAGTGAGCAAACAGGAGAGGGGCAGAGGAAGGGGGGAGGGAAGACAGAGGGGGAGGGAGAGAGAGAGAAAAAGAGAGGGAGAGAAAGAATATCCCAAGAAGGCTCCACACTGTCAACCAGAGCCCTACAAGGGGCTCAAACTCATGAACCATGAGATCATGACCTGAGCGGAAATCAAGAGTCAGAAGCTTAACTGACTGAGCCACCCAGGTGCCCCTGATCCTAACCTTTTTTGGTCAAAGAATTCTTTGAAACCAAATACCAGTTATAGATTGTCTCTAGGAAAATTCATATTCAATTTAACTTACGACTTTAGCTCATAGCATTCTCAAATCACAGCTGGAATAGTCACCATTCATTGAGATCCCATTTCTTGAATAGCCTTGGAATTTTGATTTTTAAGTTTTTTATGTATTATTTATTTTTGAGATAGAGAAAGTGCGAGCAGGGGAGGGTCAGAGAGGGGGAGGGAGAGAGAGAGAGAGACAGAGAGAGGGAGAGAGAGACAGAGAGACAGAGAGAGAGAGAGAGAGAGAGAGAGAGAGAGAGAGAGAGAGAATATCAAGCAGGCTCCATGCTGTCAGCACAGAGCCCAATGTGGGACTCGAACTCGTGAACAGTGAGATCATGATCTGAGCCCAAATCAAGAGTCAAATGCTCAACCAACTGAACCACCCAGGTGCCCCCAAATTTTGATTTTTGAAAAGAATCAGAGGGGCGCCTGGGTGGCTCAGTTGGTTAACCATGCGACTTTGGCTTAGGTCATGATCTCACCGTTCCCGAGTTCGAGCCCCATGTTGGACTCTGTGCTGACAACTCAGAGACTGGAGCCTGCTTCAGATTCTGTGTCTCCCTCTCTCTCTCTCTCTCTCTCTGCCTCTCCCCTGCTCATGCTCCCTGTCAAAAAATAAACATTAGGGGCGTCTGTGTGGCTCAGTTGGTTAACTGTCCAACTTTGATTCAGTTCATGATCTCACAGTTCGTGAGTTCAGGCCTTGCATCGGGCTCTGTGGGGACAGCTTGGAGCCTGGAGCCTGCTTTGGATTCTGTGTCTCCCTCTCTCTCTGCCCCTCCCCAACTCATGCTCATGCTCTGTCTCTCAACAATAAATAAACATTAAAAATTTTTTTAAACAAACATTAATAAATAAAAAATAAAAAGAATCAGAATACAGAGTAACAGAGGCTACTGTTAAGTGTCACTTTACATCTTGGCCTTTCTTAGGTGGCATCTACCCTCTTTTTCACTAATTCCTTTATGGGTCTTCTGATTTAGCCAAGTTAACTTACTATTTGCTGTTCTTCATGCCTGAATTGCCTTCTCAACCCCCATCCAAGAACCCCAACCATCTGGTTCTTATCCATCATTCAAGGCCCAGTTCAAATGATTCAGCTGCCAGAAAGCGCACTCTACCCTTCCGCAGAATGTTAACTGTGCTTCCCTCACAATACCCTCCATTTCTACCTTGCATTATCATGATGCACATATACGTGATGTTACTTCCCCTATGAGACTGAAAGCTCCTTGATGGAGGGATATGGATGTGGGTCACCTTTGCATTCTCACATCCTAGGCCACTGTACTTGCAGGTGCTCAGACAATGACTATTAAATATATGAACATCACTGGGTAATGCCATCTCACACACACACACACATGCACGCATAAACACATGCGACCTCCAACTCCCTCCCTCCCCCATTACTGCTCATGAGAGTATACCCTTTCTGTGTAGCACGCTTACCAGGTATCTGTGTTAGGTTAAACAGGATTTTTATCCACTAGCCTAAAGGCACACACAGGTAAGCTACATATTTGAGGTGGAGCTAAAAATGAATATATTTGGTCTTACTTTTAATTTTTTTAATGTTTATTTATTTTTGAAAGAGAGATAGAGAATGAGCAGGGGAGGGGTAGAGGGAGAGGGAGACAGAATCCCAAGCAGGCTCCATGCTGTCAGCACAGAGCCCAATGTAGGGCTTGAACCCATGAACCATGAGATCATGACCTGAGTTGAAACCAAGAATTGGATGCTTAACCAACTGAGCCACCCAGGCACCCCTTGGTCTTATTTTTCTATTCCTGTTTTCACTATATTGTGTGTGGAGGTGGGGGGGAGGCGGGGAGAGGGAGAAATTACTTGAGGTATATAATTTTGCCTTCCCAAGAATAGGTAATAGGCATGACTTGGAAAGACTGGCTTAGAAAAAAGTAAACGATGCTAACCTTTTTACTAAGTTCATTTCCTAAAGGCTCACTGACTTTTGAAAACTATTTGCAGAGTTGTATATTATTAGCCTGTTTTGATTTACATGCTGAAATAGAAAATTATCATTTAATAAACATAACCAAACTTTGAAGCTTTCCAGAATGTGAAAATAAAAGGGAAAATAAGAGAATACATTGGCATATGAAAAGGTATCACCATAGATCAATGATGAAATGTCACAAAAAACATTACTGAAAAACACAAAGGAGCAGACTTTATAGATGACAGCCATAAAGGCAACTGCATACAAACTAAATTAACATCCTTGTAGATGTCCTTACAAAAATAACTGATATCATTTGTCTTCATGGTATTCCTTAATTTTTATGGGATCTATGAATTCTCACCTATTTTATTTAAAAAAAAAATTTTTTTTATGCTTATTTTTGACAGAAAGAGAGAGACTGAGTGTAAGCGGAGGAGGGGCAGAGAGGGAGGGAGACACGGAATCCAGAGCAGGTTCCAGGTTCCAAGCTATCAGCACAGAGCCCAGCGCAGGGCTCGGACCCACAAACAGTGAGATCATGACCTGAGCCAAAGTCAGATGCTTAAATAACTGAGCCACCCAGGCAGCCCTCTCCCTGTTTATTCTTACTAGCTCCCTCTCTCTATCCCTTCTCTCCTGTCTACATCCTCTCTCCATTTCCCCTCTCCCTCCCTATTATCCCTCTTCATCTCCTTCTCCACAAACCTTCTTTCTTTTTCCTCCCCGACTTCCTTATTCTCTCCAGTGTTATGATCAAGGCTAGACAGCATTCACTCTCTAATCTTCCTCTCTTCTGAGATAGGAGATATGCATGCAGCTACCCAATGGCATCTTTCTCTACAGCTAAATTTAATTCTTAACAACACTTCCCCTTCCTAGGACCTTTCTTGGTTAAGCCTATCCCCCAGTCTCTCAGCCTGTCACTTGAGAGTCATCAATGACTACTCACTCTCATACCCACTCCACTCCCACCACCACCACCACCACCACCACCACCACCACCTCTGCTTCCTGACTGGGACTCAATATTCTGGTCTCTGTTCACACCTTCATCATCTTTCACTTGCATGACCCAGCAGTTCTCCCTGCCTCCAATCTAAACCGTCTGTCTCCCATTTGTCCTCCATGTTGTCCTAGCTCATCTTTCTTTCTTTCTTTTTTCTCCCAAAGTAGGCTTCACACGCAGCTCGGAGCCCAACACAAGGCTTAAACTCATGACCCTGAGATTAAGAGTTGGATGCTTAACTGACTCAGCCACCCAGGTGCCTCTCCTGGCTCATCTTTCTAAACACAAATATAGGGGCACCTAGGTGGCTCAGTTGGTTGAGTGTCCAACTTAGGCTCAGGTCATCTCACTGCTCATGGGTTTGAGCCCCACGTTGGGCTTGGGCTGACAGCTCAGAGCCTGGAGCCTGCTTCAGATTGTGTGTCCCTTTCTCTCTGGCCCTTCCCCACTCATGCTCTGTCTCTCTCAAAAATAAATAAACATTAAAGAAAATAACTTTGAAAAAAAAAAATAAACTAAACACACATGCAATCCTGCTTAAAAATCATTGCTTCCTCTCCTCAACACCTAAAGAATCAACTCTAAATTCCTTAGCATGGCTAAGAGTATCAAAAGCCTTCCACGATTTGCTTCCTATCCTTTTCTTTTTTTTAAAGATATTTTTTAACGTTTATTTTTGAGACTGAGAGAGCAAGCGAGCGAGCAGGGAAGGGGCAGAGAGAGAGGGAGACAGAGGATTCGAAATGGGCTCCACGGTGACAGCAGAGAGCTCTATATGAGGCATGAACCCACAAACTGTGAGATCATGACCTGAACAGAAGTCAGATGCTGAATCGACTGAACCACCCAGGCACCCCTCATCCCTCTTTCTAGCTTCATTCATAGCCACTATCCCATCAGCACCCTTTTACCAGTCACTGAATTTGAAATTCCTGCAATATACTATGCTTCTTTATGCCTACATGGCGTTTTTAGGAGCTCTTCCCTCTACTTGAAATGATCTTCCTCCTCTTCATCTGATCACCTTTAAGATCAAAATCAAATATCAGGCAAACAGTCCCTGAATTCTAATGGCAGTTCATTGCTTCCTTCTTTGTGTCCTCAATGCTCTTCACATAGATACTTAATGTCTTCTAAAGACAAGACTCATATCAATGGAAGACATTACAAGCAACAGCAAAAGAATATAGGAAAATGTGATAATCACAATAGATTAATTCAAATCAGAATGTTTAACTGGCTGCGTGTTTTACTTACTTTTGTGGAGTCAAAAGAGGCAAATCCCATTAACTTCATCATTTCGATTTCTTCCTCTGTTTTGCCCTCTAAGTCTTCCTCTGCAAAAATAATGGAGAAATAAAATATTTTTGAAAACTCTATCATCGTTATATATAGGTATCCCGCCTTCCCAATGTTTGTGGTACAACACTTTACTTTTATGAAAGACCTACATTAG